ATCTGGTTTAGATCTGGATTATCTCCTAACCTAATTAGGAGATAGCTTCATATCTTTGCAGTTTCCGCTCCTCTCTACACCCTTTTGTCTCCCAGTTCGACCTCAGCTACCAAGGACTGATAAAGATTGGTTTTTCTTCTGATTTTTTCAAGAAAAATTCAGAGGAATTTCAGGCTCACCTTTCCCAGTTCGATCTAAGCAGTTGGGTTGCGGTTTTGCTAAAAACTATGTTACTGAATCATCTTCACCTACACATTGCGCCATCTTCAATGGAGGCTGGTTTTAGGACTGATTTGGGCATAAACTTCCATCTTGGGATTTGCATTTGTGGTATCCATATCAAGTGTACATCTCCCTCTTTGGTTAGTTTTAAATTTGGTTCGGTTCAGTGCAAGACTGATTCTGAAAAATGTAGTTTTTCAAAACACAAGGAATTTAATTCCCAAAAGGATTAGGAAATTTTTGAAATTTCACCCAGCCATCTAGCAATTATTGTTATTATTTATCAATAATATTTATTATATGTTGTTATTGTTGTTGTTGTTGTTGTTGTTCTTCTTCTTCTTCTTCTTATTATTATCATTATTATTAATTAGGTTCACGTGGCACTCCACATGTGGGCCCACATGGGCTCTCTGGTGTCATGATGTGATAATTTTTCATTGAAATGTATATTGTTTATATGTATGAGTGAACTGAGGGCTAAAATTGTCATTTATGTCAATATAAGCACCTATGGGGAAATTAGCTCACCAAACATCTCCACCCCAATAAGCGTTTAACAAACACAATAAGTAATTTGGCAAGTGGATCACCAAACAACCTTAAATGGTTGTTAAAACAAGTAATTATAATAAATACATATAAAAAAAATACTTATTTTAACAACTACTTATTCATCAACAATAGCCTAACTGAGAACAGAAAACTTACATGGGGTTTGGCATTTGCAAATTGAACTATAAAACAGCCCACCAACCAATGTCATATAAACGGTACTTATATAAGATGGTAACACACAGAGGGAGCAAAATTCACCATCTTGTCCACCGCCTTCTTTGCTTCATCTGCATATTTATATTGAATAAATGCAACCCACGTGATTCTCCGGTTCTGTCACATTAAAGATGTCAACGCCCTTTCCGCACTTATCTAAAAGAGGGAAAAGATCATCTGCAATGGTTCCCAGTGAAGCTAAATTGAAAGCAAGTATTCAAAAACATAATTTTTGAAATGGAGATGGCAGAGTACAAAATTAAGAGAAATACGAGATATTTACTAAATGTAATGTTGAGAACAAAAAGATAATAGGTGTCTCTAATATCTGGAGGACCAAATCCCCCAAAATGAGACACCGTTCTGACTTTTGAGATGATGAATAAGAGCGTGGAATTAGGGTTAGGTATTGAGGTGGACATTGGAAAGCTCAATATGCACTGCAATTTAACTGGTGATAAAACCCATTACTTGAAAATTAGAGAGAAGAAAATTGATAAGAGAGGAAAAGGGGATAAAACCCATTAGCCTTTTTATTCTCACTTGTAAGAAAACCCAAAATCCCAACATTTCCTAGTCATGGCAAGAAGATAAACTCATTGGTGCCTTCTACCATAGAGACTGTTAATAATCACCATGTCTATGTTCTCTGGACAAACCCTGAAAAGGAAGTGTGGTTGTTGTAGAGTAAAATGAAGAGAGAAGCGGTGGAGACGGGGTAGAGAGGTGGGGGTTGTTGTAGAGAAATGCAACACCTCTGAAGTTGCAGGGTTTTCCTTCACACTTTCTAGCAAAGTTATCTTGTTCAATTAGAGGAAAGGGGGAGAGAGGAGAGAGAGACAAAGAGGGGAAAGAAAGAGAGGACACGTGTTATACATGCAATTGAAATGTCTCATTTTTTTTGAGAAAATTCACAATTAGTACCTTGTACTTTGGGTTTAGTGCCACTTTGGTCTCCGAACTTTAAAATGCAACAATTCAATACCCGAGCTTTTAAAATGTGACAATCCAGTACCTACCGTTAACTAGCTACTAACCAGCCATTAAGTGGCATTTGAAAAAGACACAAATGCCCTATGAGTGCCATCCAATTTTCTTTATCAACTATCTAAATATTGACAAAAAATTAGTAGTCTCAAATCCTTTCCTCTTATATTCAAGAGAGTTGAGGTCATTAGAATGACCACTCAAACGTAACCCCAACTTTCTTGAATGGAAGAGGCAAGGATTTGAGACCGTTAAATTTCTGTAACATTTAGATGGTTGATAAAGAAAATTAAATGACACTCGAAGGGCATTTGTGTCTTTTTCAAATGTCACTTAATGACAAGTTAACATCTGATTAAAACGAATTTTCCCTCATACATTGAAATGAAATGTTTCTTCCTGTAACTATTATTTCTCAATCTTGTGGTTTGTTTGGGGTTGTTGGGTAAAATTTTGATGGAACCTTTATGATTGTTGCCGGTAGGCCTTGTTTGATTCGGGATGTGTTTATTTAAGCTGATTTTTTTGCAATCTGAAAGCATTTCTGTTGGGAAAGGAACATGGGTTTTTGTTTGTTTTGATTAAGTCAGATAGATAGTAAAATGGCTATCACTTCCTTAGTCTTGCCTTGAAATCCTTCACAGGATTTTGGTTTTGAAAAACCTTGAAGTATGATAAATTTGTGTTTGCAAATAGAACCCTTGCGATTAGAGGTGTAAATCGGGTCAGGTCACATGAAATTGGACCGGCCCAGCCCAGCATGGCACGACAGCCCATGTGTCGTGCCAGGCCTGACACAATGGTCCGTGCCGTGCTAAACCGGGGGTTCGTAGCTCACGGTCCAGCACGACATGACATGACGGCCCGCGTGCGGACATCAGCCCATGGCGTTGCTGGTCATGGCCTGTAGGGCCCGTAGTGGGCCACGCTCGACCTATTCGAAAACTAGTCGTTGGGTCCCCCCCCCCCCCCTAAACGGCTAGTTTCAGCTTTTTGGAGGTGGGGTTTTACATAAATACCCCCCTAACAGCTATATAGGGGGTATTTATGTATTTTGCTTATGGATGGTAGAAAAATGACACAAATACCCCCCAACAACTATATAACAACTAGTTTAGGGGGTTTTTTGGGTAAATTTATAATAACTTTACAATGACCAAAATACCCCTCCTAACAACTAAAAAACAGTTAGTTTTTTAGGGTATTTTGGGCAATAGAATTATTTTCAATTCTTATAAATAGCCCTATGGCCCCTATCCTCCACCATTCTTCTCATCACACCAATTCAACAATTCTCTTATTCTCTTAATCTCTTCAGTCGTTCTTCTCTCAGTCTCTCATACATTCTCTGCAATTTGAGTGAACTCTGATAGTCTCATAGTCTGATTGGCTAATTGTCTAATTCTACAAGTTAGCAATTTGGGAGGCTTGGAGCCTTGAACGTTGTCACGTTGAAAGACTTTAACCGTTGAAATCAAGTTGGGATTTTGAACCAGCAATCAGGGGTAAGTCCAATAAATTAATTTCATTTTTTTAGAATTAAAAATAAAGGCCAACTCTTCCCAAAACCCCAAGTTTAATAGCCCGATTTAGAAAATATTTAAAATAGAGGATGTTGAAGGGAAGGGGAAAATAGTAGTTTGCCAAAAATGTAGAAAAGACTTTAACTATTGTAGCAAGGGTGGTACTGGCCATTTGACCAAACATTTTCTCACACATGAGAAGGAAGAAGAAATAACCCACAATTTAAATGAATTATTGAAATAATGGAAAATAAATTTTAAAAATATTGGGAGAAGTCAGAGAACATTTCTCACCGCCAATCCCACCATGGCACATGATCCATGATCTATTAACCCCTCCGATGTCTACAGGCTACAGTTCCATCGGAGTCTTGTTTAGTTGTTTTAGTGCAGGACCTACAGGTACCATTATACCAGGGTTGGCTAAATGCAGTCATGATGCATAATATATATTACAACTTTACAATTACAAGACAAAGGAGTTAGGAGGGCATGATACTTCTACATACACCGGATATTTCACCTAAAGTAGATGATGAAAGCGTGAATGCTTTCATCATAATTCATAATGTATATGTAAATTTTGTTTAAATTGTAAATTTTAACAAATAACCCACATTTTTTTTCAATTTATTGTAAGTTTTGTTTTAATTTTATTTAATTTATTTGCTATTAATGTAATTTTATATTTTCAATTTGTAACTATATTGTATTTTATATTTTATTATATTAATTTATATTTTCAATTTGTAACTATTAATGAAATATTTTCATATTTCATTCATCCAAGTATGATTGTATGAAGTATCCAATCATTGTATATTTCAATATTTGTATGCTTTGTAATTTGTATCATCATTCATTCAAATTTTAATGAAATAAAATTCCTATTTGAATTGTTTTTACTTTTATTTATTTATTTTTTATGTAATCATAAATTCGTAATCCATAAGACCATAACCATATCCATATCCATTCAGTCTAGGTCTAGCCCAGTTTGGCCTAGGCCCAAGGCTTGCTCTATGGCCCAGCCCGACACGGCCTAAGCCCACGACATAGCCTGTAGCTTGGCTCTGCCTAGGTTGGCAACATGACACGGGCCCACACAGGCCTGGGCCATAGACTATGTCGGGCCGACCCTCAGAATTTTCATCGAGGAGGGAGGCACAGCCCGCACTTTGCATGGCCGCCTACAGGCCGTGCCATGCCGGCCCGATACGTCGCACTTTACACCTCTACTTATGATGTCTGCCCATACTTGCAAATAGAACCCTTACAATGCATGTCGGGAGGTTTTTCCTTCTCGTTTTCTTTTGGACTTTGCTACTGTAGATAAATATTTTATAATGATATATATTTTGCTTTTAGTGATAAAAAATTAGTTTTTAATATTTTTAATTATGACATCACGGGTCGACCCCGTTCGACCCGGGCGGTCGAATCGCTCACCTGGACCCGGAGTGAAAAAGGGTGGGAAGAGGCAACCTTGAGTATGACTGTTTTCTCTTTCTGCATTGTTGTGACTTGTGAGAAGGAAAAGGCAGAGAACGATGGGTGGGAAGAGGAAGAAGGGAGAAAGCGATGTTGTTGGAGTCGGAGAAGGAGAAGAAGAGCAGCAGCAGCAGAAGAAGAGGCAGATGCTTCCATCGCTGATAAAGAACAAAGAGAAGAGATCTGCTGTTCATGCCAAGCTCAAGCACGAGAAGAAGCTCGAGAAGCGAAAAAAGCTTAAGGCTCGTGATGCTGCAGAAAAAAGAGCTCTCGAACTTGGCGAGGAGGTATTTTTCGTATCCCTTCGCCTTTTCTTCTTCAAACTCCAACTTTCTTTGAACCATGAAGAGAAGAGTAAAATAATATGCCCTGCTGGTGTTTAGGGTTTAGGATTTTGATATTTAGATGATTGAAGGTGAAATTTTTAATACATGTTTTGTTTTAATCTTTTATACAGCCTCCGCCAAAGAAGATCCCTCGTACGATTGAGAACACCAGAGAGTTCGACGAGACAGTCTGCAAGCCCGATGACGAAGAGGTTTGAATTCTCTGTTGTTTCTTGTTTTTCCTTGGACTAAAAGGAAGAATAGATGGATCACTTGAATGCAGAGATAATCGGAAGATTTATTGCAATGAACTAAACGGTCATGTACAACTATTATTTTCTTTCTTTTTTTTTTTTTTTTTTCTGTCACAGACGATAGTGCTCTATTACTTTGTTTACGTTTGCAAACAATTAGTTCACTCCGAGGAGTTAATGGTAGGCATCTGTAACTAGAATACAAGCATCAGCACTCAGTATTAGAGAAAAAGAAGAATAATTGCTGGAAGTGGTTTGTAGATAACATTTTTATGGGAAAAATTGAAAACTTTTATCGACATTAAAAAACTAAAGATTAAGCGTCAACAATTTGGTCCCCATCTCCGTTAATAGTTAAACAATTGCTAAACTAACTGCCTATGACCACAAGTCTCTGAAATGGTATAGGATGATAATATGATAGAAAGGTAGAAATCTGAGAAAAGCGACTTACTAGAGAATAGAGGAATTTTGTAAACTCATACAGCCCAAAGCTGTTGAGCTACAAGGAAATATTACCTAACTGATATCATTTTTTTGATAAGTACCTAAATGATATCGTTTATTGAAATTTGTTGAGTCTAGTGAGGAGTGAGTTGCTTCTTATTTGTACGATAATGAACCATTTCTTTTTTGATTGGTATAAATTAGCTTCTCATGCTTCATAATAGTTGTTTGTTGTTGTTATTTATCAAGAAAAAAAGTTGTTTGTCGTTTGAATTTTATTTATTATGGAGGCAAACTTGTACTGAGGGTCATATTGTTTCTTTTCTGAAAATATCTGTTTCTTGTTTCTTTATTATGTTGTATATTCATTGCTCTTTAACATGTTAACCATGATTTATATGCAGCTGTTTGCCGGAAATGATGCAGATGAATTTAGTTCAATTCTTAAAAGGGAATGCACTCCAAAGATATTGATCACCACATGTCGTTTTAACTCTACTGTATATTCCTCATCCCTCTTTATTGATTGTACATAGCATGGAAGCTACTGTACTTTCATAGATTTCTAAAATTTCAAAGGTATTATTATATCATTTGCAAAGTCTATTTTTTGAACAGTTGCTGATTTATTGCATATTTTACTTAATTCACAGAGAGGGCCTGCTTTTATCTCAGAGCTGCTTTCAATCATTCCAAATGCCCACTATTATAAGAGAGGGACCTATGACTTGAAAAAGGTGCTGTGTCTTTGAAGTGTAGCATGTTGTAATATTGTATTACTTAATAATCTGGGTCACTGGGTACAATGTTCTATAGAAGGCATTTTTTTTATAATTTGTGTGTATGTTTCTTGTGTGACACAGATTGTGGAATATGCAAAAAGCAAGGACTTCACTTCAATCATAGTTGTCCACACTAATCGTAGAGAACCAGGTATCAGTTAGTGTTTGCCTATATCCCCAAAGATGCTTTGAATATGTTTTTTTTTTCTTTTTTTAATTTTTATGATGACCAGTAACAGAAATCAAGCTTAATTAATTAGAAATATAAAGTACAACAAGGAGTTGCAGGAATACAAGTCATAGAAGAAACATGAGCATAGCCCCTGCTATCTCACCCCATTACTTGCTTTACTACAGCTGAGCCCAAAACATATCTTGCCTAGTGGCCATAGTTTTCAAGGCGCCAAGGTGAGGCTAGGCGACTGGGGGGCGCCTAGTCGCCTAGGCGATGGATTTTTTATGTTAAAAACATAGATCCTAGGGTAGTTCCCTAGGTACCATAACCATATTTCTTTAATAATTATTCATGATTTTCATAAGAAAAGTATAAATTTCATATTAAAAAAAATATAGGGGCTGAACCCTTATTTTTGTTATAGGAAAAGAAGAAAATAAAAAGTATTGGCAGTAGTAGTAGTAGAAGAAGAATATATGGAAAAGGAAAATGTGCTGATTAGATAAAATTTTTAGTTCCCTTACTTATTGGTTCAGGTTTTTAAGTCTTTGAGGGTTCAATACAGCATTTAGCAATATTTGTGTTGATTAAACCCTAATGAATAAGAAAATAATAAAAGGAAATTAGTATATAAACACACAAAATGATTATTTTAGTTTAATAATGTCTATTTTATAATTATAATCTCAAAAAAGAATGTATAAAAACGTATTTTATAGTAGGAAGTAGAAAACTGTTAGGCGATTAGGCGAGGCGAGCCTCAAAGGGCGCCTTGTCGCCTAGGCGTTGCCTTGACAACTATGGTAGTGGCCCCTTGTTTTGCTAAGCCATTAGCCAAGCTGTTGGCTGATCTTTATGCCCACTGTATTACCAATTGCTTCTCTCTAGAATGCCAGTCAAAACCTCTTATTTCATTTCTGTAGTTCCAGTTTGCTGCAATCCTTCTTGATAGCCAGCTTATAATCACTTTAAAGTCTCCTTCTATAACCAGTTTATCAATTTTCAGTTCCTTTGCCTTTTGCACCCCATACATTGCTGCCTTGAGTTCTGCTTCATGGAGTCTCCTCCAATTGGGCCTGAGTACATTGCAAGTAGGACACAATTCCCATCTCTTATTACTCCCCCTATTCCAGAAGGACCAGGATTCCCCATTACTTCTCCCATCAAAGTTCAGCTTTTCCCATCCCCTTTCTAGTACTTCCAAATCTTTTCCACCTTTGGTTTCCTAGAAGAGGAGGCTCCCATCAAAGATGCTTTGAATATGTCCTCAGTTTGTTCAATTGTTATTTTATGGTTGTGTCTTGATATGTCATATCTTGAACTTATTAAGATGAATTTTTATATGTGAACCCAAAACCCATCACAAGGATTTAGTGTATTAAACTAATATACACCCAAATGAATGATTGATGTCATGATCTATTCTCCTATAAAATTTGTATTAGTGATCCATAGTTATCCATTTCTATGCAACTATGTATATTTCTGTGAAATCTGTTTCTATTTTTCATGTTTTGTGTTAATAATATCTTCCTTTTGGTTACTGATATTTGAAGCCTCCTTTATACTGTAGATGCTCTCCTGATCATTACTCTACCTGATGGACCAACTGCACATTTCAAGCTCTCGAATCTAGTTTTGCGCAAAGATATCAAGGTATTTCATGGACATGCATGGTCTCACAGGCATGCACTTCTGTACTTTTCTTTTGATAATTTTTTTATCAATAATGATAAACTTTTATTAAAATTGTGGAAAAGATGGTGCCCAACATTTCAAGGATTTCGAAGTGAAATCTGAATACAAAAAAAAAAAAAAAATCTTACAGCTTAAAGCTGTCATACGTAAAAGACAAAAGACAAAAAACAAAAACTTATTACTATTCTGTCTCCGCTTCTAAAACTCCAAGACGTTATACTCTGTCCACACCACTTCTAGCTGAAGAATCTGTTATATCAATTGCAGGTCTAGTTACCCATCTTAAATAGCAATTCAGGTTGACCGCTAGATTTTGTGCTTCTCTCAACCTGAATCTCAAAGGCCACGGGGCTTCCTCCATTGGGGTGCAAGTTAGGCAGGGTTAGGTCGGGTCAAGGCCAATCCTAACCCAACCTTAGTTGTTGAACCTCCAGCTGATGACTTTGGTTGGGCTAACCCAATTTCTTCACTTTGTTTTGCCCAAAAGGCATTCTCACTTCTTAACTTTCTTTATCTTAGGATTGGTTAATTAAGGTTAACTATATACAGGGACAAAGTTATGATGCTTTTGGAGTTCCATACTTATATTATACTATAAAGTTTTTACCTTTAAAATTAAAATTATTGATACATATACATGCATACATGCAAATTTATGTGATATTTATATACAAATATGAAGACATGTCAGGTTAGGTTGCCCAAGGCCTTAGCCCTAACCCAACCCAAAGTTAAGGCTGGTACATATTTTTCAACCCTAACCCTAAACTAACCTTCAATCCACCCCAGTTTTTTCAGGTTGAGTTTATGTGAGCCCGGCTCAACTTGCACCCCTAATCTCTTGTTGTAAGTCAACCTATCACTACTTGGCATATGCCCTTGACAAACAAATCCCTACATCCCCCAGCATGGCAAATTTAAGACCTTTTGGGAGAGGTAACTGTTCAGACCCTAGTGACTTGCCTTCTCCAGTTCTCCTACAGGTCCAGGAAAACTTAATAGCATGCTACAACTATGTTCTCTGAAGATTCTACCAATTCCAGATTGTTCAGGGTTCTCTAGGCAGCAGCCATCAAATTAATTTTAGTCTTCCTTCCTCTGGATCTGTCCAATGGCTCAAATCTTGATTATCTATCACTCTTCTATTAGAATGACTTGCAGTTGGACCTTTTCAAAATTGCATCCATTTTATCCCGTTTTTTAATGAAGTTGAAGATGGAAGGGGCTTACAAGCCTGTCAGTGTGCAAAAGGAGCATAGAGAGAAGCATTCTCCCTGGGAAAAAACAAAATACAGCCTAGGATCCCTATATTCGAAAGGGTGGAGGGTGGACAATCTTCATTCCTTTGAACTCCTACAGAAAATTAATGGTTTGCCTTCTCCTGCATTATGGAACTTGTGTTGAAATCCTTGGATTCACAATGACAAAAAAGGCACACACCTAGGTGAAGCATAATGGTTAGCTCATAAAAAAAATGCAGGCGAACCCCCTGGATTCGCAAATGGTTAATCCTCACGAACCCCCTGGATTTGCATTGAACACAATTAACTAGTAGGGAGTATCATTTTAATTATCCATACAATACTCCTAAAACAAATGGTTAATTCATCAGACTTGTTCCATGAACTAGTGATAAGGTTCTGAGCAAAGTCAGTAGAAATGAAGTTTTTTTCTTTTCAAAGAAAGAACATGGAAGATACTCCTTATGGTATGACATGAAAAGGATGTTAAGGATTTTGAAGGCCTGAACAGGATGCCCACAATTCGCTATTCTAAAATTGCAAGTGTGGTTTTCTCATTTTTCCAGGATAGTGAATGGGTCATACTTCTTAATTCCCAATGGATGTTAGTTTCAACTAAGTAATAAGCAAGATATATGACAGAGGATGAACTTTCTAGATGTTGACAAGCAACTTCCATTCTTGGCTTACTATTTCAAGTATGAGTTCCTGGGGTTGCAATGGGTTGAAACTAATTGTTGGAATATTTATATGCTTGCAGAACCATGGTAATCCAACAAGTCATAAGCCTGAACTAGTATTGACAAACTTTACAACACGCCTGGGTCATCGTATTGGCAGGTGAAGATATGATTGCCTGAAATGTAGTTTCATTTGAAGTATGGCTTCTATTTTCTAGCCACTTTTGTTTTTGAATGATTTAAATTATTAGGTTTATACAATCACTTTTCCCTCAAGACCCAAATTTCCGTGGTCGGCGAGTTGTAACCTTTCACAATCAGCGAGACTTTATATTCTTTCGCCACCATAGGTATGTCTCTATTTGCTGTTTACAAACATAAGGAGTTTGACTGTTCTTGCAGGAGGCTTTTGCAATTAGATATATTTACAATATGGTGACGACAAATCTTTCTTTTGTGTAACTAGGTATATCTTTGAGACAAAAGAAATAAAACAGAGCAATTCAGATGATAAAAAGTTCAAGGATGCCAAAGATGAGAAAATACCTCAAGAGAAAGTGATTGCACGTCTTCAGGTTTCACATTGACTGATCTTTTACTTTATTATTTTTTTTGGATAAGTAGTTAAAAGAATGAATGAAGATTTATCAAAAAAAAAAGAAGAAAGAATGAATGAAGATAAATTGCAAAGGTTACTGCCCCAATAAAAAAGGGTCTAAAACAGGCTGATTAAAAAAAAGGTCTAAAACATGATCTTTGTTACTAAGTACACTTGTCTTTTTGTACTAACCAGACAAAAAAAGCTATTCATCCTGTACATTAACTGTTTGTCTATGTCAAATAAGGTAGGAGATAAAATGGAAATGTTACATAGAAGTGTCCTCAAGAACCCATGTCAGACTATTTATCCAAAAAAAAAAAAGAACCCATGTCAGACTCTGTCTTGTATGAGTACATGCAACATTGTGGACAACTAAAAGTTTAAGCAAAGTCTTATCAATGACATGATCAAGTAGACATTATTTATCTTCCAAGATTGACTTGTTTCTTGCCAAATATATCAGCAAATGGCAAAGGAAACAAGGTTCCTTCATATATGATCATCAGTGCCGCGAACTTTCAGTGACCATTTAAGTATGACCTAAGGCTGCTTGGGTTGCCTCAAATCTGTTTATTTTATTTAACAATTTATATTACCTTATTTTTGCTTCAAAGTCTACCATTTTCTGAGTCAGCTTGATGAGGAAGATAATGGGCTGTAGATCAGGGATAACATTATTTTCTGTTAGCAGCCAATAATTATAGTTCAGTGACCTTACAACCATCTCCCCACCCCATAAAAATATAAACAAATGCAGGAGTGTGGCCCTCGCTTCACGCTGAAATTGATTAGTCTGCAGCATGGAACATTTGACACCAAGGGTGGCGAATACGAGTGGGTTCACAAGGTAATATATTAATTCCTTTCCAAAACTTGGTAAAATTAATTACATCATACAATATTTTTTTGACCATATACTCACTACCTACGCATGGCTTCTTGTCAACTTTAGCCGGAGATGGATACAAGTCGGAGGAGATTTTTTCTCTGACTTAGCTTGGAGAATTTTTCTTCGTGGTTCTACACTTGCATTGGAGAGAAGAGAATATTTTCAGGCTCGGAAGATTTTGTCCCCTTTCTTCCAGAGATTTTTTAATCTCTTGTGCGCTAAGTTCTTATGCGAGTCTTTGAGTGTTCTAAATTTTGTTGACCAATCTGAGATGAATAAAAGGTGATTTTCGCAGTAAATTATTTGGCCCTATTATTGTACTACTTTATGCAAATGATGAACCAATCTCATCTCACCATACCTCGAGTGGTATTAGGTGGGAATAGCTTAGAGCCGACCTTGTATGCGGTTTCAGTGATCACTCCCTGTAAGGAATCAAACCTCCTTTCCACCACTAGGGCCTCTATCTGTGTACTCGTCAGAAAAGAATTAAAACATTCATGATGCTGGAAGACGTGTACCGGAAAAGGTTGAGACTTTGATAAATTAAAACCAATGTTTTAAAAATCGACCTGGAACCAGAATCGTTATGGCCACCGGTTTCTGGGACGATGGTTTGACCATCCAGTGTGAATGGATTGCCCGTTCTGATATAAAAAATTTAAAATTAAAATAAAAAACAGCCAAAAACTGTTGAATGGGTTGAAAGGATTGACGGTTTGACTATCCGGATCAATGGCTCATTGACCGATTCAATGGTTTTGGCCGAAGATTGGGTTTGGGGGAAAATAAAACCGGTTGCCTGGATGGTTTCTGGTCCAAATGATTTGAATGTCTGGGTCAACGATGGTTCAAAAACATTGATTAAAAATTAAAACCTTTGTGAATTTCGATGAAAAGCAATGCCTTTATTAAGTTTTTCTCTTATCATAATCGAACCCTTTGTAAAGCTATGTGAGGTGGACACCAACAGGAGGTAACTATAATCTGAGCATCACCTTCAATAATAATGTTTTCAGCAAGAGAAGCCCTTCAACCAACAGGAGGTTAACTATAATCTGAGCATCACCCCTTCAATAATAATGTTTTCAGCAAGAGATGTCCCTTYAACCAACAGGAGGTTAACTATAATCTGAGCATCACACCTTCAATAATAATGTTTTCAGCAAGAGATGTCCCTTCAACCAACAGGAGGTTAACTATAATCTGAGCACCACACCTTCAATAATAATGTTTTCAGCATGACCAACCCTACTACCTGCAGAAGTAGAACTGTGGGCCACATCAACATTACTTTTAATGCAACTTGGAGAAGGGGGAGACCAATGAATAGCAGGGGCTCTATGAATGAATTGAGGGAAGTTCTTTAACGAAATTAATGAAATTCCTATCCATTTATTTGCGGTGAAATTTTCATTTGCATCAGTGATCATGCATAGGAGTACAAATGGACTAAATGTAAATTTTGGCTTTTTTTTTATTTGACTTCAGTTTGTGTGTAATAGAGCATCTATTTATTTGTTAGGAGTAAAATGATAAGGTCCCCACTTTATATGAAAGAGACTGAAGGCAAGAGAAAGGTTTATTTGCTAGGAATAAGGTAGGAAGCAAATTCATGTAATCTCTACTTTTATACGAGAGAGAACCAAAGAGGAAGGTGGTCCAAAATTTTCATCAGTATATATGTTGATAGACTTCCACAGAAAGCAGAAGGCAAATTACAAATTTCAAAGCTTAATTCTGCCTCAATAGCCTTTGCAACTGAGCATGTTTTCTGTTATTTTCTTTTTTTTTTTAATTTCTCTGACGTGATGGTTAATTCTCAAATTGTTGATAGACCTTCACAGAAGTAGCAAGGAAAATGGAAAGTTTCCAGGCTTAGTTGTGGCTTACTAGCCTCTACAATTTTTCTGTGACATGCAATTCTTCTCAAATTGTTGTTAGACTTCCACGGAGAATGTATATATAGTAAGGAAAATGGAAATTTCCCAAATCAATCCTGCCTTACTTAGCCTTCTAGAATGCACTAGAACTTTTTCTCTTAAATTCAATGGAATGCAGGGCTTTTCAAATTGTTGATGCAAAGAAAACAGAATGCAGAAGGTTCTCGGACTTTAACTCTCCCTTACCAGCCTCAAGAATCAAGGACTAATTCTGCCAATGGTCATGCCGTTGAAGGATATGTTCCAAAGTAGATTGTAGTTTTCAGCATCATCTTCCATCAATCTGCTTCCTTGATGCAGTAGGGTGAACTCTTCTCCAACAGCATTTTAATTTCTTTTCAATCTGGTGATCCTTTGGAAACATTGCTCCATTACATGAGCACATATTATATTCTGATGCAATTCTGGGCATAAATTTTCAAGCATGAGCAAGAACCAGCTCCTATTTTCTGTTCTGAATCAGAATGCTTCTCGATCAATTGAACGAGTTTTGCTCTTCCCAAGGCCACCATGTCAAAACAAGGGCAATGCCAAAGATATCTTCATGATAACAATGGAAACTTGTCAACTCCAACACTTGCTGAATGAACTACAATAAATAAATTAGCACTTAGACGTTTAATGTTAGTGCCCATTTGGGAGGGCTGAAGCGCACCAGTCATTTGTGAGCACCCACACGGACAGCCTATAAGTTATGTTTGGTGAAAAATCCAAAGTCCCAAACCGACTGTCAATCAGTCATTTGAAGGGTTATCTGCTTCAGCCTCTTTTAATAACATCCGGGGAGCTTCAAGGTAACTGAATCAGCCTAGATGAATCTTCAGTTAAACCCTCCCAAACGGTCGCCTAGTGCCCATTTGGAGGGGATGAAACGATGGTTTTTTTCTTGGCCTTCCAATTTTCATATTAGGCCCCACATATAAGTTATGTTTGGTGAAAAAATCCAAAAATAGGGGGTGCAACTTGGGTAGGTTCAAGTTAGATCTTTTTTTCAAAATTTTTAAGGGCCCCGCCCAAAGGCCCCGAGTCCAAAGCAGTGTAAAATGCTAATTCAAGGCCAACCCAAACGCCCCGAGTTCAAAATTTAGAAAGGCTATTTGCTTCAGCTTCTTTGGTTGGCCTGTCCCGGTCCTTAAAAGCAGTTTAACCAGCTTAGCTGGATTTTCAGCTTAACTCTCCCCAACAGGCCTTTGAGCTACCTTACGCATGAATCCTTGCATCTTCACTTTGCGCCTCAGATCCTTCGCTGCGATTTCTTCAAATATGGCCATCCACTATGATTCAACCATTGAGAGATTTTCAAGACACCAGTGACAGGAAAAAAAAACCTAGAAACTATGTGGAACGTCCTAATACTTGAAAGCTACAACAAGCAAATGGGCTTGAGGTGGTGCTACCTTGAATATTTTTAATTTTCTGGATACCTTAGTACCCTAGGCTCAGTTTGGGAAGAATATAAATACAAATATATATAATATTTACAAAACAATATATAAGGTTTTTGTATTATACACATTACAGCAAGGTTCAAAGTATCGGCCTATATCGGCCGATATGTATCATGCCGATGGTTTCTTGATACACCCTTACAGGGATTATATTGGGTCAGGCCATGATTCAGAGGATAGTCGGGACTTAAACCAACCCCTTTGAATCAATTTTGAAAAAATAAATAAATGAAACATAAAATAAGCACCATCGGCTTATTGGCCTGCATCGATACTTTAAACCTTACATTGCATAACACATACACAAAGATGCCAAGACAAAATAGATTCTATACCTAGACAGATGACTAAAGAAACCATAGCAAAACTCTTTTTGTAACAAATCTTAGACTAAAAGTGAGGCCCAATATATATATATATATATACATTTTTTTTTCGGGTAGGAATAGCTAGCACTGGTTGATCGGGTCATCAAGTAATAAAGGATCAAGTCACCGTGAATGAAATCGCCTTGTATTTGAAAAATAAAAGGGGGACTGGTAGGCTTCGTTTTGGTAAAAGCTTTTCAATGCAAAAATCTGAATCAGATACAAATTTGCACCTGGTTCAATTCTACATCCATTTATGATCATGATTTGCACTTTTATCTGTTGCAGAATTTGCATTTTTGTCTTATTTCCACCCATTAGATAGTGCAAATTTTGCATCTAATACTGATGAAAAATTTACACCACCTTCCTACTTTGGTTCTTCACATATCAAAAGTGGGGACTATGTCAATATGCTTCCTGCCTTACTCATAAGTAGGGTGAGTATGAGTCAGTTAAGTTTGTCTCCATGGCATGGTAGAACCTGAAATTTACCATATAGCGGTTAGTTCCAAGTTTTTGGATTGAAAGATAACCTATCAAGATCGGTTCTGGCCTTGGTGGCCTTGGTGGTTCTAGGGTCTACTTCGGACCTCAGCGAGACCTTTGTGGTGTTGAGGAAGTACAACATGAAACTTAATCCTAACAATGTGCTTTTGGCGTCACCTCAGGCAAGTTTTTGGGTTTCGTCGTCACTCAACGAGGCATAGAGGCCAATTCAGAGAAGATTCGGGCTATACATGACATGGAGCCACCTCGATCCATCAAAGAAACGCAAAGGTTCGCCGGTTGAGTGGCTGCCCTCAACCGATTCATGTCGAAGTCGGCAGGTCGCTGCATACCATTCTTTTGAGTCGTCAAGAAGCTGAAGGACTTCTAGTGGATCGAAGAATGCTAGAAATCCTTTGACAAGATAAAGTCCTACCTTGCTTCGCCCCCTCTGCTCACACGGCCTCTTCCGGAAGAGACCTAGCTCCAGCTCTATTCTAGTGTGAGAAGACAAAGGAGTGCAGAGGCTGATCTACTATGTCAGTAAGGTCCTTTGCGACGCCGAGACCAAATACCTCGAGGTGGAAAAGCTATCATTCGCATTAGTGGTCTCGGCCAAAAAACTCAGGCTCTACTTCCAAGCTCACAACATCACGGTGTTGATTAGCAAACCTCTCAAGTTTGTACTCTCCAAGCCTAAGACCTCGGGTCAATTGACCAAGTGGGTCATTGAATTGTCCGAGTTTGACCTACACTACCAATTGAGGCCTGCCATCAAAGCACAAGCCTTGCCAGATTTCTTGATGGAGTGCACGTTCACCAAAAACCTCGCCGGGTTCTCGTAAAACATGAGGGACCTCGGCTAATCTGGAAGCTATTTGTGGATGGGTCCTCTAATGCTAAAGGGAGTAGAGCAAGCCTCATACTTCTCACCCCGGACAACAACGAGGTGGAATATGCAGTAAGATTCGGTTTCCCGGTCTCCAACAATGAAGTCGAGTACGAGGCCTTACTCGTCGGACTACAACTTGCCAAAAACCTCGAAGCCGAGCACCAAATTTGGCTAAGTACT